GAGAGTGTTCCCGGTGCCACAACATTCCGGGAATTCCTTTGACCAGCCGAGCAACAGTCAGTTTCCCAAATACTCTGCTCCATGGGGTATGATGGGCAGGATATGTAGCTGGAATGGGGCGAAAGGAATTGCATATGTGTGCGTTATGCAGGGATAGCGCTTATGTGTGTGTACTGGAGTGGAAGAGGAAGTAACGTATATCGGGGCACAGGGCTGTCATCGAGCCGGTTAGCATAGCAGTAATGCGTCCTAACCCGTATTACAGAGGTGCTCATTTCGACGACATTCTGTCTTGATTTTCCTCGTTTTCTCAGAAAATTCTGGCATTGCACCTCGATTAGGCAACAGCCGCTTCTGAGCTACTGACATCCCCCAGATGGGACGAGTCCCCCGCGCTTGTTGTGTGTCGTCATGTTCTCCAGACAAGGGACAATAGTGTGGCCATGCTGCGAGACCAAGAATATGAAGAGAAGCGCACTATTTGCGGAGCTTACTCTGCTTATTTTTTACCCAGAAGAAGCAGGCAGCATATTCCTGCGAAACGTCGGTAAGCTACTAGACTGCAAGGCGTTACACCCCGGAAGATTTTTTTATTGCTAGTGGGGTGGGACTAAGTCCCTTGTACTGCGGCCACTTCTGGCCTGTTGTACCAGCCCCAGATGTTAGATGAGGGTGATTGTGGAGCAGTTGGTGGAATGAAGATTGGCAGGGGAAACCGAGGTACTCGGAGAAAACCTGCCCCAGCGCCACTTTGTCCACCACAAATCCCACTTGTCCAGACCCAGGATCGAACCCAGGCCGCCGCGGTGGGAAGCCAGCGACTAACCGCTTGAGCTATGGCGCGGCCCTCACCCCGGAAGATAGTACCATTCATAGTCACCGCTGTGACGAGTATAGAGTTTATATGTTGTTATGGACGTGAAACAGTCGAGGAACGCCTGCCGTATTTGGTGTGCAGCGGACACTCGGCTCTTGTTAGTCACCGTCTGAAACCTGCGGAGGTTGTCCCCGGCTAGTGGCCCACATTCGCACAGTATAACCCCAAGTGTGAGAGAGGGTGGGGGGGACAGAAACATTTTCTTGCCTTGACGTTTCCAAGGCGGTGCCGGCTCGACCGAAGTACGGGTGCATTTGACACAGGGTAAATCGTTGGGAAGTGAAGGAGGTAAAAGGTTAGGAAGAAAGAAGTTGGGCAAGGGGATTTACTCCGTGTGACAGGAATTTTGAGATTAACTTCGGAAGGGCTGCATGCAAATGAATTTTTTATTTGGCACTGGTTGAGGGGGAGTTGCTTGTTGCGAAACATAACAGTGCAACGTAAGCAACTCCTAGCCAGCAGTCCGACGTTTCGGTACTAGAACCGCAACGCTGCACAGGATTTTGCGAGTATATTACAGATCTCTCGTCACCTCCGCTTCTTCAGTTCCACCATATTGTGTCTAGCGTTGATGTCACCGCCGACGGACTTGCCTCTCCGGGATGCTGCCAGAATGCTTGTTGCCTGTAAAGAGAGCGTCTTTTCTTCTGAACCCTAATGTTACGTTCATATGCATAACATATAGCAGCTGAGTTCCTGCCGCTCAGGAAACAGACTGCATCTCGCGAATTTGCTTGACGTTTCGGAGGAATCTTAGAGTGCCGTTAAGATGCAAGGGTTAAAGTATCTCAGAACCGTTGAACAGAGTTTAACTTCATATTTCTGAAGCAATTTGAAAGCGCCCAGTTGCAGTGAAACAGATGATGTCAGCAGAGAAGCTGCTCTTTGGCCCCAACTGTGATAAGTAAACGTGATTACTGTGTAGATGTAGTTGCCCTGACGAAGTTCCATGCGCGCGCTTCGGATGTGTGGCCATCAGGAACGCTTGCATCACAAGATGAACGCGAATGTAGAAAGACTCGCGTCACGCTGAGGAGAGTTGCCCTTTAGACCGCCTACTCCAGAAACACTCCACTTTGCCCACGCAGTGCATTAACAGCTCTTGATTCTCACAGTAAGCAGCAGTCATTTGAAAGAGAACAATCGTCTGGGTTGTAATGCCTTGTACTTCGGAAGAAGTCCGCCAACGTTTCGGAGGATTTAACGCCGTTTGCTTCAGGATATAAGAAAATGCTCTATTTGGTTGCCTACTTACTGCTGGTTTCTTGCTTGGCTTACTCTTCGACGCTGAAGATGGGGGGAAGTATGCATCTGAGAAACGTCGGTGGACGTCAGTCAAACTGCACGGTGTTACAACCCATTAAATTTGTACTCTTCATACTCACTGCTATGAGAACCTCAAACCCAACAGCGATTTTTTATCCTAGACAAAATTAACCGACTGTTGTTTGTAATGGGGATATCTCGTATTTTCTGTGAGGTATTAGCTGAATTATTGAATATTGTAGAGATTAATTTCTGGCTTATAGGGCTTCACTTTAGCCACATTCAGCATCTCTGATGAGTGATCGACACGTAATTCAGTATATGCAAACTTTGGGCGTTTGGTGGCGGGGAGCATTGCTGCATTTTATAATTTCCTTGTATGACGCTAATAGATACGCCCCTTTATGTTTCAAATTGGGTAGCTCATTGTCTCCTTATCGCGCTCTCTTGCGTTGTGGGGGGACAGTATCTGCATATGGAGTTGGCCCTGTGCTTAACTAATTAAGTACTACACCATGAAGGCGTATGGGGGGAGTGAACGTATAGATCCATGTCTTCTTGACCTCTGTACTAGTTGGAGGCGAGTGCTCAGCTTCTCTCACTTGCCGCTTCCCCCCCCCCCACCGGCACCCATTTGAATAGGAGGCTGGGGGGGCACCAGAGCCGGTCTGGAAGAAGTGGAAAAGAGAAACTTCTTAACCGCACCGGGAGTCGAACTCTGACTCCTCGGTCGTCCAGTCCGTATCCAGACTGCGCTATCACAGCTCCTACATGTGGGTAGCTGAGAATATGCCGAATAAGCAGTCGCTGGCAGCCGACAATAGGTGATCCTCCAGTTTCAGTTTATGCGGGAGGTTGCAGCTCACCGTAAAAGCAATATACGTATATTAAGAAATGTGAACGCTTAGTGACGGCGGGTTCTTGCGAACACGGCAGTGGCATGGAAAGGCTTTTGTAGCTGAGCAACTGTTAGCTTCTCAGTAAGAACTCTGGTTCAGAGTTAGTTACAAAGGTACTATCATTTGAAAACAGAACCCTGAATGCGACTCGGGATGAATCTTTGAGTCCATTTGACTGGCCTTCTTGCAGAAAGGATTGCCGACCAGCAGCTTATCGGAAAAGCCAGCTACAGTCAGATTTTTAGATGTCAGCATCAGTTGAATGCGCGGTGAATTTGGTCGAGCCCAATACGAGAATGTGTGGTTTAAAGGAGCACAACAAGTTTTGGTGAATCACGTTTTTTGGTTTGATTACGTCACCTTTCTCCCACTAAGCACTTTCTTTAGTTCTTTCCTGCCTTCCCTTCGCCACAGATAAAATGGCTGACATTGTATACTAACAGGAAAGAAAATGTTTAAGAACGAAGACAGCAGATATCAAACCAGTCGCAGTGTTAAACAACCAGCCGCATATAAACACCACACTTACACCTCGATGTTTAGGGCTGTGGACGCCGATCCCCTTAGTGTCTTTTTTTTAGTATAATGCCATGTAGTCCTGTAGACTTCACCGACGTTTCGGAGGATTGTACTGATTCCATTGTTAGGATCGAAGAGTGCCAAGCAAGAAGCAGGCGGCAAGCCCAGTTTCTGTGTTGTCGATGGTGGCTTGTTATTTCCACTGTTGCACAATTCTGAACGAAGACTGGGTGTGTGTTTCATTTCACCGGTGGTGTTACGTTACAGATAAGTTCGAGACGTTTCTGTGCGAATGTCACGTGTTTTGCGTTCAAGTGGTGAAGATACGACAAGATTCGAACCACCGACTTAAAAGAATGAAATCTGAGTGGTTGACATTGACAAGACTATACTCGAAATGGCTGATAGCACCCCCCCCCCCC